ATTAAATAAAATTCATTTATCCTTCTTTCATTAAAAAATTCGATGCCCAGTTCCGGAATGCGTACAGTGTGGTAATCGTTTCTTCCATGTGCAACACTTGTTGGAATGTGCAACACTTGTTGGAATTAAAAGACAGTAAACAACAGTTTCTTTCTGGTTAGGCATGGACAATATCTAATTTTATTTTGAATCCTTAGATAAGAAAAAAAGTAGAAAGATGCAGTGGAAAAAGAAGCCAAAGAAATAGTAAAGGAGAGATGCAAATAAGGGCTATAAGTGGGAAAAAAAAGAGAGAGAGAGAGAAAAAAAAATGAAAAAAAGAGAAAAAATTAAATGATAGCTAACCATGATTTCTTTGATGATAATTTTGAATGAATGAGTATGGACAGTTACAATACTTCTAGTATGATTGGTCATGAATTTAGGTTAAATCCTGGCTAGCACAATCAGCTGCATAACTATCATGAATTACATGCCTAAAAATGCCTTGTTGTAGCAGCTAAAAAGTCAATATGTCTTCAATTAATAATAACAAAAGCAAAAAAGAAACATGATATATTTTTACTAAACAGGTTAACTGATTAGCTGTAAATGAAATTTAAACTGTAGTTTAAAACAATTCCACATCAGTGTCCATTTATTTTTAGTTTATCCAGCAATTTCGACATCGATGTGACCATGGATAGCAGTTCATCATTTATAAAAAAGGAGAAGAACGAAGAGATATAGTCGTTGAAACTTACCTCAAGATCCAAGCAGTACTAACAACTAGTGTAGTCGGTTGTATATGTCTGAATATCATACATCCATGAATTGCGAATCACGGTTGTAAATATCTGAGTGTCATACATCCATGAACTCAGAATCACTGTTATATATATCTGATTGTCATACACTCATGAATATTGAATTGAGGTTAATTATGTCTGAATAGCATACATCCATGAATTGTGAATCACGATTGCATACGTCAGAGTATCAAATATCCATGATTGTTAATCTCGGTTGTATATGTCTGAGTGTCATACACTTACGAATAGTGAATAACGGTTGTATATGTCTGAATGTCTTATATCCATTAATTGTGAATCACTGTTGTTGTCGAGAACAAGCTCGAAATTCCACTAGAAATAATCTTTGTACCGAACAATCGAATTTAGCAAAAGGTCAAATTTAAATCAATGTATTTATATTTAAGCAAATCATGTTAATCATTTATTGTAAGTTTTATTGTAAGTCAAATTCCTTAATGACTCATAGATGGTAATGTGTTAACAAATTCCCTTGCTAATCTGTCATATTATCTAATGCACATCTGCTCCAATCCTTTGTTTGTTATCTAATTCCGTTTACAAAAACTATCTATCCCATAGCCTTCCTCTTAGCTTCCATTGTTTCAATCGCTTTATCTCTCCACCCTCAAATCATCCTATATAAGGGCAATTACCACTCAACCGCAGTTTATCCTTCCCAGCATTGTTACCAGTCTCCCCGTTGCTTAGCTCATCCTCGTCACTAAATTGTCATACTACTGATTGCTTGTTTGTTTTAATTACCCAAGATAAAGCACTCGACTCAATTGTGCAAGTAAACCAACCCAATTCAATCCATTCACAACACCAATCCAATCCAATACATTCACAACAATTTTATGGTGCCACGAGCCGGGAACATGTCATCCATCATCATCAGAATCGCAGACCAAACAAAACGAAGATTGTATGAAGTCCTCAACGAAATCAAGAGTCTGAACTTGGATTCGGTCGACCAAATGACAACAACCGACGAAACAATCCGTCTTCATCAGGAACGGAGAAGGATCACCCAAGAAAAAATCATGCATATCCAAATATACATAGAGGCGTTGGAATCGGTCAATACAGAGTGGAAACAATTCATCCAGCAGATTTCAGTCTCAACCAAAAGAAAAGAAGAAGAAGATCGATACCTTCAGGTAAACGACGATGAATCAGGTATTACCAACTTAATTTTACAAGCAAAACAAACTGTAGTCATTTTAAAAATGTATCAAAATGATTCGGAGTTCATATTACAACGGCTAAATCAGTCTATGGTAAGGGAGGAAACAACTCAACCCAAGGAACCCACACAAGCGGGTAAATACCCTACAGTAAATCTCCCACAACTACCACTGCCCACATTCAGTGGGAATCCAAGACGCTGGAGGGAATTTTGGAATAGCTTTGATACAGCTATACATCAACAAGCAATTCCCGATATCCATAAACTAAACTATTTCATCTCATGTCTCAAAGGAGATGCCCTCCAAGCTATCAGAGGTTATGACATAACTCCGGAGAATTACAGTATCGTAAGAAATGTCCTCGTCAAAAAGTTTGGGCAGCCTTACGCCATCAAACGAGCCTTGTTCACCGAATTATACTCCATCAAAAAGAACGATAGAGAGTGGAAAGCAACGCTTGAGGCCATTGAGCGAACACTTCGACAATTGGAGGCCATCGGTGAGAATTTAGAGCAGTCCGGTATCGAAATAGCTGTGGAAGGGAAATTGCCAACCTGGATCCTAGAACAGGTTTACAGAAGAAAGAGGCAGGAATCGTGGTCTGTCACCAAACTCCGAAACTTCCTCACGGAGCTTGCATCTGTGAACGAAGAAGTAGTACAAAGCCAGTCCCTATGGTTTAAAGGGAATATGGAGAATCAATCTCCAATAAAAGGCAAGCCAAGACCACGACACGATCCTAATGAGACTTCAGCCTTAACAACCTCTGTTCCGGAGAAACCCATCATCAAAGCCCTATCAAGACCTTGTGCACTATGCAACAAGAATCACTGGGATGAAGAGTGCCAGATTTATCCCACTCTCAAACAAAGGCTGGAACGTCTGAAGAAACTAAACGCTTGCCTCAACTGCTTCAAGATCGGACATATGGCAGCCAAATGCAAAAACAAGAAACGGAATTGCTTCCACTGCAAGGGTCAGCACAATTCCGCGCTGTGCCCTAACAAATTCAAGGAAATGCCCAAAAAACCAGAGGATCCAGACTCCACTACCACGACAAATATAATAGTCGAAAAAGAGAAGAAACGTGACAAGCGCATCCTACTCTTATGCAAGCAGATAAATGTGTTCAACCCAACTAATCCAAATACTCAACAAAGGGCTTTAGCCCTATTCGACGTTGGATCACAATTATCCTTTGTTTCAAAGAACTTAGCCAAACAACTAATGCTTAACGAAACAGATGAAGGGAAATTAAACATCGCTTCATTCGGCAAAAAGGACCCGAACACGCACCTTACAACCAGAATTGAAATAGGGATAAAAATCGGAAAGGACCGTACAGTGTTGCTCGAAGCGAACACCGTGGACTATTTAACAAACAAACTACAAGTAGTCAACTTAAGTGAAAGCGACATACGATCCCTCAAAGGAAGTCCAACAATTGATTTCCACAGTGAATGGAAGCAACCGGATATATTAATAGGAGCCAACCACTTCTTTCAATTCATCAATTTCGACAAAGCAGAGAATCTGCAATCGGGATTCACACTGCTCCACACTAAAGTGGGCCCGATCCTGGCTGGGTCTGGCTATACAAAGAAAATTTCTCCCAATTCACGAATGTCCTCACAAATAGTTTACGCCGCTAACACGATCAAGGTTCCAGATTTAGATCAATTCTGGAAACTGGAACTAATAGGCATACAAGACAAACCCGAAAACAATGACGATGAAGAAGCCTTAAAACAATTTAAGCAAACGATTAGAAAATCCGACGGACGATACCAGGTCGCATGGCCATGGAAAGACACCAGTTCCAAATTAAGCGACAATTTCGAATTATGTCTCGGACGCTTACAGTCGTTAATCAAGCGACTTCACCGCAACCAACATCTACTTACCACATACAATGAAACAATCAATGAACAGTTAAGATCCAATGTCATCGAAAGGGTAAGTCATTTCACAAACCATCAAGGTATTATCCATTACTTGCCCCATCATGAAGTGGTAAAATCAGATAACACCACGACAAAGGTCAGAATAGTTTATGACGCTTCCGCTCACCTCAGAGGCAGGAAAAGCTTAAACGATGTCTTGTATCGAGGCCCTATCACCCTTCCCGATTTAGCTGGAATATTAATTCGACTAAGAACAATGAAAATCATCATATTAGCTGACGTCGAAAAAGCCTTCCTACAATTAGAGTTGCTGCCAACGGAACGGGACTGCACACGCTTTCTATGGGTAAAAGATATTCAGAAACAGGTGGACAGAGATAATTTAATATGCTATCGATTCAAAAGGGTCCCCTTGGAGTGATATCGTCACCCTTTTATTATCAGCAACTCTCAATTATCATTTGGAACATTATGAAACTGAAACTGCACGTGAAATCAAGAAGAATCTCTACGTCGACAATATCATCTTATCAGCGAGCCATGAAGAGGAAGCCTTGAATAAATATGAAGAAACAAAATCAATTTTCAAGGATGCGTCAATGAACATGCGAGAATTCCTCTCAAATGACCAGACATTCAATGAGCAACTACCCAAGTCGAACCGAGCACGAATGAGTCAAATAAAGAAAATATTAGGGATTAAGTGGAATCCACACAAGGATCATATCCAAATAACACTAAATCCATGGACCGAACAAACAACAACAAAAAGAACTATTCTACGGTTCATCGCCTCACAATACGACCCACTTGGATTCCTAGTACCACTGATAGTACCGTTCAAGATATTTCTCCAAGAACTCTGGAGAAAAAACATACATTGGGATCAACCCCTCGACAATCAATTGATTGAAACCTGGAACAATCTTGTGGTAAAACGCCCAACTCATATCAAGGAAATCCCGCGATTCACAATCGATTTATCACAACAAATTACCTTTCATGTTTTCACCGATGCATCTACAGTGGCATATGCTGCAGTAGTATACGCCCATCAAAATACGCATACGTCGTTACTCTTTGCTAAATCACGATTAGCACCTATTAAAGGAATGACGATACCAAAGCTAGAATTACTAGCTATTCTCATCGGTGTACGCGCAGCTCAGTTTGTCATCAAACAAATGCAATTAGAAAATCCAAAGGTAGTGGTATGGTCGGACTCTCGCTGTGCACTACATTGGATACAAAACAACTCTCGCCTCCTACCAAAATTTATACAGAATCGTGTGGAAGAAATACAAATGGCGAAATTCGCATATCGGTATATCCCAAGCGAACACAATCCAGCAGACATTGCTACCAGAGGAACCATTCCGACTCGTCTAATAAGTTACGAGCCTTGGTGGAGCGGGCCCACATGGATCAATGGTAATGAACCGAATTGGCCTCATTGGGAATACGACGTTCCACAAGAAGAGGATAACGAAGAAGATAAGAATATAGTAGCAACAACAACCACAGAAGAAATCATCAATACAAATCGAATCAATCTCCTGGAGGCAAAACGATTCAGTAAATGGACAAAGATGATAAGAACAACAGTAAGAGTACTAAAATTTCTCAAAAAATTATCTAAAGGAAAATTAACCTGGTTAAGCAGCGTATCAGAAAGGAATCCGATTACACCCGAGGATTACAATCTCGCGGCGGAACTACTAATAAAACAATCCCAATCGGAAGGTATAACAGCAGAAGAAGTGGAAAAGTACAATCTGCACTATGCAGACAGGTACTGGAGATTCCAGAGCAGACTACAATTGCCGAACGACAGGGAATACTCATCCCAAACAATATATCTCCCCAGACACAATCGAATGACAGAACTAATTATTCAACACCACCACGAAACGACGCATCATGGAGGTATTCCTCAAACTATTTCCAGAATAAGAAAGCTTTACTGGATTCCGAAAGGAAGGGCTGAAGTCAAGAAGGTGTTAAACCGCTGTATGAGTTGCAAACGCTGGAAAGCCAAGCCATTCAAATTGCCACCTATGCCAAATTATCCGCAAGAGCGGATCACTGAATCAAGAACGTTTGGATGAATTGGCCTCGACTATTTGGGGCCGATTACTGTGAAGATACAATTGGAAAAAGCAAAGCGATGGATCGCCTTGTTCACATGCTTCACCACCAGAGCGGTACATTTGGAAATGGTGGACGATCTATCAGCGGAAAGTTTCCTAACTGCATTAAGAAGATTTGTTGCGCGACGCGGCTATCCCGAACTCATTCTTTCGGACAATGCCACCCAATTTCAGGCAGTTTTTCAAGCCATAAAAACGCAAGAATCACAACTCTCTAATTTCCTTGCTGAGAAAGGAATCAAATGTAAGACTATAACACCGAGAGCACCATGGAGCGGCGGAATCTACGAAAGATTAATCGGCCTAACAAAAAGGAGTTTAAGAAGAGCTATCGGCAGACGACTGCTTAAGGAAGGGGAACTAATCACACTGATTATCGAAGTGGAAAGCATTCTTAATACTCGCCCCTTAACTTAGTAAATTTCGACGACTCAATTATTTTGCGACCAATAGACTTTATCATTCCCAATGCTTCTTTGTCTATACTGAATAGCAATAACGACAGAGAAGACGAATTCTCACCTTATAGTCTAACCACACAAGAAAAGTTACTTCAACACTGGTCGAATACCCTAGAAACATTGAAAACATTTTGGGAGATATGGAAAGACGAATACTTGAATAGCTTAAAGGATCGATACCAATTAGAACATAAATCTCCAAGAAATGTAGAAAAGAGACGGCCGATAGAAGGAGAAGTGGTACTGTTAGATGAGCCTCATGCACCACGTGGTACATGGAAACTAGCAAGGATAAAGAAATTAAACGTAGCCAATGATGGGTACGTCAGGAGCGCTCAGATCGAAACATCGTCAGGAAAACTTCTAAATCGACCTGTAAGCACGTTGTATCCACTTGAAGTTACTCCAGAAGAACAGTCTACTCCGGAGAACCCCGCGAACCCATCAGAGAGAGCAGAACCAATTATCCAAAACCGAAACACCACAACTAACACGAAGATTTCGAGTGAAAGTGGTGAGGAGCAACCTATTGCTCATCGAACACGGAGCCAGACAAATTTACAAAAAAGGGAGAAGTCAAATTTCGTTTTAACCAACTTACTGCTAACAGTAGCAATATCGATAATTCTACAAGCAGCAGAAACGAAGGAATGCAAATGGACATCAGGTGTTGAGAATCACAATGTTTTATCCTATAAACCCCAAATCTATCCATTAGAACACTTTTCGCTCTTCCCTCGGGAGTGTCGAGAACAAGCTCGAAATTCCACTAGAAATAATCTTTGTACCGAACAATCGAATTTAGCAAAAGGTCAAATTTAAATCAATGTATTTATATTTAAGCAAATCATGTTAATCATTTATTGTAAGTTTTATTGTAAGTCAAATTCCTTAATGACTCATAGATGGTAATGTGTTAACAAATTCCCTTGCTAATCTGTCATATTATCTAATGCACATCTGCTCCAATCCTTTGTTTGTTATCTAATTCCGTTTACAAAAACTATCTATCCCATAGCCTTCCTCCTAGCTTCCATTGTTTCAATCGCTTTATCTCTCCACCCTCAAATCATCCTATATAAGGGCAATTACCACTCAACCGCAGTTTATCCTTCCCAGCATTGTTACCAGTCTCCCCGTTGCTTAGCTCATCCTCGTCACTAAATTGTCATACTACTGATTGCTTGTTTGTTTTAATTACCCAAGATAAAGCACTCGACTCAATTGTGCAAGTAAACCAACCCAATTCAATCCATTCACAACACCAATCCAATCCAATACATTCACAACAGTTGTATATGTCTGAGTTTTATACATCCATGAATTCTGAATTACTGTTGTATATCTGATTGTCATATACCCATGAATTGTGAATCATAGTTGATTATGCCTGAATATCATACACCCATGAATTGCGCATCACTGTTGTATATGTTTAGAATATCTTATATCCATGAATTGTCAACTACAGTTGTATATGTCTGAGTGTCGTACATCCATAAAATGTGACATCGCGAAGCACTAAATAAATGTTAACAGTGTTTAATATAGCACCCCTTTGATATTTTTTACAATTCATCGTAATAGTCAACTGACCTTTGACCTCATATCAATTCCTATACTATGAGCATTTATCATTTAATGCCTATTGCAATCCATTATTGTGGCTGGCCCATTATAATGTCCATACAGCCCATTGCACTTTCCTTTGTGATATCCATTGTGAAACCTATTGTTAAATTAAGTCATCATCATGTTTAGGCAATTTATCCTTTGTACAAAAATATATATATATATATATACAGAGGAAATAAATTATTTTTAGTGGTAAATAAATAATTTTAAATTACTTTCGAAATTGATTCCGTTACAAAATTAATTTCGGAGTATTTCTATTTGACTCTAAATCTAATAAAAAAATCCCGAAAAAAGTTAAAGTTTAATTTCAGAATAGTTACATGAAAAAGATTTCAGATTCCAAAATCCACTTGTTTATTTTTTAAATCGGAAATAAGTTGTAATGCAAGCAAGTCTCACGAGGAAGCGATAAAAGAACCTAACTGAAAACAATTTAAAATTGACTATCAACTCAAATTCACTTTAAAACATGTTGAAAGAATATTCATTGAAAACCCGTTATCTTCAAAACTGCTTTGATGATAAATTGGAAATTTAACATGTTTGAAAATAAAAAATGCTACTTATTTTTTTTCGTATTTTTTAAGAAAAGATAAGGGAAACAGAGTTATTTAATAAATGTGTAAAATTACTAGGTGATGAAGCTAAATGAATTTCGATCACTTAAAATAATTACTGAATGCACTTTTAGTCTTTAATCTTTAATCACTTCAACTTAGTTTGAAATCAAACTTTAAAACTTCTGCCACAATAATTATATCTGATTCCTACTTCATTGCCTCTTTTCATCTGTTTGAAAAATTTATGAATTTGTATTTTTTCAAAATAATTGGATTGATAAAAGAAAGTAGCAATTATGTTTTTTAAGACAATGGCGGGAGCAAATTTTCGTCTTAAAACTGTGACGACAAAGCAATTAACGTAATGATATTTTTGAAGGAATTAATAATCCTCTTTGATAACTATTCTTTTTTCATGAGTGTTCTTCGTCCTTGCTGAACAGTTCCTGCAATCAGGTTAACAAATCAGAAAACAAAATTCGACAACATTTAAAAATTACTTCGTTTTTACCTTTTGTCTCACTTATTTTCTAGTTGTTTTCAAAATCTCGCGTTTATCCAAACGAGAGAAATCATTATTTTTGATTTTCTGAAAATCCTCTCATATTTTTGCATGCATGCACAGTCCCACTAAGATAGTTAAAAGCTATAATAGTTAAGTAAAGAAGATGAAAATTTTAAGAAAAGTATTTTAAAATATTTAAGTATTTTCTCAAAATTTTGTCTCTTTTTCTCGCTTATATGAGAAATTATTCGTCCAGAAATTTGTATGAATTTAAAATATAGGTAAGCGAAATTTCAAAACTTAATATGAAAAGGCTATAAATGCAAAACTAAAATATACGGTGACCTTAAAAATTGCCACTATTTTTAAAAGTCTCCGAAACTGAAAGTCTATGATAATATCATTCAAAAAACAACCATCATCTATGAAGTTGGCGCAAAAAAGAACTAAATAATTATTACCATGTTACATCAATATCCAATCAAGCCTTTATGAATCATATTTCTCCCATTTAAATTTAGTTTTTTATTTTTCAATTAAGAAAATAATTACTGTAATAGCAGAATTTGCTGTAGTGATACCGATTACAACATATGCAAATATTACTTCTTGCAACACAGAAAGCATCAACTTCACTACTAGAGCTATACCTATTGAATCCATTAGCCAGATAATATTTGTGCTTAATTTATTGAAGCAACCTTGTTGGTGCATTCTAAAAAAATGAAATATTATCAGGGCAATAAGTTCTTTCGATACAATCTTAGTTTTCGAGATTTTTTATTATTGCCTTTTTTTTTTAATTATTGCCATGTTTTATATATATATCAAAGGAGAAGTGTTCTGCACAGCAAATCTACATAGTTCTGTCATATTACCCATCTACGGTTTTGATCATTTGTTCGAGGAAGCTTGCTTCCTCTAGTTACATAACATAGCGAATGAAAAACTAATTTCTCATCCAAATCAGCTTTGCAATTTATTTCAGGCCTTTAGTCACAATAGTGAAATTATGAAAAAATATAAGTCCAGAAGAGCAAACTTTTCTTTGGAGCAATGCCTTTTGGTGTTCGAGCAACAAGACAAAGGAGCTGAATTCATTTTTTCTTCATCATTTTGTGATTTCCAAATATCACCCTGATCTAGCATTATTTTCAATTCATCCTCGATCTGCAATTTGCAAATTGTTGATACTTGCAACAACTTCAACACATGATTCAAAGATCGTCTATCTAGTTTCAGAGTAGTTCTCTCTACGATCATTTTTACCGGATCATAATAGTGAATTATTTTTTTCTGCATCCACTCCGTGTGATTTCCAGCAAAACCACAACACTGCATCCTTCTTTGAATATCATCTATCGTATGCATAAACTTTTGCAGATCATCATCTTTTAATAACGTTCCTATGCCAGCGATTAACGTTGATGACACCTCGGACGAATTTAAACCTATTGCTACTGTAATTGTAATAATCATTTAATATTTTAACTATTATCAACAATACAACAATTATATAATCCATCTCGTCATCAGTACTTCTACGAATTTAATTTAGTTAATAAATAATAATTTGCCAATTTAGGTAAATTTATTGATTGCTGTAATTTTTTGATTTTTTAACATACTTTTTAACTTGTATTATTATAATTTATTGTATTAAGCGATCAGCTTTGAGAATGGGTTTTAAAGAGAAGTGCACAAATGAAAGGGCCTGCATTTGACAACTTCAGTCTGAGCATGCAAAAAGGTCAACACAGTTTTTCAGGAAGATATAGAGGGAGAAACAATTATTGTGTAGGAGAATGATGGGAAAGGTCAATGTAGAATGCATAATATGAATGATGGAAAAGGTCAATGTAGAATGCATAATATGACATTGCTGAAAAATTGTGACATCAAGTGGCAACAAAGCTCGCGATATGATGGCTTCAAATTAGAAAGATGTGTGGAACAGATACTTTTACTGGTGGAAAATTGTGAATTAACTAACGTGATGCAGATACGTACGTCAACAAAAAAATAGCAAAATCTTTTTACGTAAGGATTGTCTTCTGTATTATCATTTTGAGGTGGATTGTTAATAGAACAACACAAAATCTTCAATCAAAAACAAGAATTTCGAATTTAATTGAGGATTAATCCAATTAATGTAAATTTCTGTTCATTATATAATTACTCACCGAGAAGTAAGTAAAACAGCAAAAAAAGGAATGAGAAAGCGAAGTCCACAGCTATTGATACGCCACAGAAAGCATATTCCTTCTTGATAAAAGTTAGAAATAATATAAGTTGTACTGAGATTAGAATTATTTCCATTCCGCAAAGCACGTAAGTGAAAGAACCAAGGCACTTTATCAACTGAAAATTACGCAATTTTCGAAATATCATATACATTTAAACGTTGTAAAAAGCATGACAGATATTATTGCGAGCATTGGAAGTAAGTCGAGCACTGGACAATGAAATAAATGAATGGGATAAAACTATAGGTAGATGGATTGATAGATACTTTCTAATAATGATACGTCCGGGATAGGCAGGGATGTAAATATCATTTTTTATATTTTTTGCTTAGAGAAGCTGCTTCAAATCATACAATTTGAGCACTGAATGTGGGCTCTGCAACAGTATAAATTTGATTTGCAGGTTGTACATAATTGATAGCAAAATTCAGTGATATAAGTATAACTGCTATGCATCTAAAATGGGCTTTTTTTTTATTAGCATTTACTAATGCTAAGATAGGAAAGCTTTTGATATTCAAATATAACTTTGCTTAGCATTCAATTTAATGTAAGCTGAAAAAGCTTGCATTAAATTTATTAGGTTTTCTTATCGAATTATATTTAGTGCAATGTATTGTTTCATATGCTTATGGAATGTAAAATGTGACATACACATAACTATTGCAGATATTCATGCAGATTCTCAAAATGTTCCGAGGAGTACAGAGATCGGTAGGTCTTCTAATATCTTTTGGATCTTTTAAAATCTTTTAGCTTGAAGATGGATTTACTTAGAGAACTACCATTTCGTTTTGCAGTAGATTTTAACTCATAAAGTGGATTCAGTTACCAAACTTTTTAAAAACAAACGTTAATATGCGACAAGTAATT